GCTGCAGTAGCAGACGGCGCCTGACACATCTGCGGCGCACTTGTGCAGTTTTATTCGAGGGGTGACGATTTGCTCGTTGACCGGCTGGCACTTTCGCCGAGATTCCTCGTATGGAGCTCGAGCCTGCCATGCAAGCCCCAGACGGGGCCCCGAATTCAAGCCCAGCCAAGTCTCATCTCAGACAGCCCGCATGCGACCGCGGCGGCGTGAGCAAACGATGGTGCTCTGCTGTAGGATCTTGCTTCGTGTCCCAGCCTCGCTGTGATTCCGGCAGACTTGACATGTAAACTGAAGCAAAGATCGTCCGTAAGAGCCTTTAGCATGACAGAACTCGGGTCGATGGGTTTTTTCTGGGCTCAAGTCTCACCTGCCTTTCAGGGCGCGAATGCCCACGATGTGAAGTTTGAGCCTCCACCCGGCTTTTTGCAGATTCAATCCTTGCCGACTGCCCTCCCAGATGCAGCTTCGAGGCACCCTTGCCCGAGCTCCCATGTAGGGGCCTTCTTTACTGGCTTGTAAGACTCGGGAAGCAGAAATCCCTGGCCCTCATGTCCGGGCCGTCAAACCCAAAGCCTCACTCTACAGTCTCCCTACTTCCTCGGCCCTGCATGCTGGGCCATGCTAGTGCGCCGCCAACTGCAGGCATCATGCTTCGTTTGTCGTGGCAAAGTCGTGAGTGGTGTTTCGCTCTGGTTGAAGGATGTCTACGGGAACTAGTCTCACTATCTCTCGAAGCAGTTCAGTTAAATCGATCTTCCCGTTCAAAAAACAGGCTGGCTTGCTTCACGCTCTGCTGGGGCTCAGTGTGCAGCGGCCCACGCCAAAGGCCGGGGTAAGTCACTTGCCCAACGAGAACTCGATCAACGCCTTCAACGAGCTCTCGCGGTGGCAGGGAGCAATAACAAACATCTTCCACGATGATCCGCTCGGCTATGTCCCCTGGGATCCCATCCGAACCCTGTCTGCATGGGTAGTATGGTCTCAGCTGGTGCTTGATTCTGCTTGATCTGCGAATGTGGGCAGCTCTGCCGAGGAAACGTGCCGCTGCCTGACTGGGCAGGACCGTTTGGGACCACGGGCTGGCTCTTCGTGTACGATGATGGGAAGGTTCTGTCTGTCGAAAGAGACTTACTCCCAGTCCCAGCCAAAGGTTCGGTAGCTGTTGCCATCAACAGGCCCAGTTGCGTTCTCACCGCATGTGCCTCATTTCAGCAGGAGACTACAAGGACATCAATCGCCTGTCGTGCACGTTTTCGGCAGACCAGCTCTTCCATTGGCTCCTCGGTCCAAAGGCCGATGCTTCTGCGCAACCATGGGGCCATGGTCTGCAGGCCGGACCTGAAACGTGGCCTGTCCATGTGGTTGGAGTCCCACCTGCAAGCCGCTCAGACCCTCCCCTGCTTGCCCTGCTTGGGCTTGGGGCTGTCCCAAGGCGAGGCTACGGCAACATGACCCAGATCTTTTGGGACCACTTCTGTGCTTGCTGCCTAGAGTCTGAGCGTTTGCGCGAAAAGCCCGCATTGGTGAAGGAGCAAATTCGTCCGATACAACATGCGGAGTGCTCACAAGGGCTCGCACTCAGAGCTTGTGGCGTGGAGTGGCTTCTGCTGCAAGGATTTGACCAACATCATCAGTGCCCACGAAGTGATGGTCTCCCGGGCCGAGCTCTCAGCAGAGGCCACAGAAATCCCACCCCAAAATCGCCACAACCGTTGGGCACGAGGAGACGAGGAGCGAGCAAGAGCGAGAGAGAAAGAGAGAATCTCCTCACCACAACCGAAAGAAAAGAGAGCCTCCATGAGGGCTTCTCCCGTTCAGTTACAAACAACAGAGGCCCCCCCTTGTTGCGGACCCCGGTTTTTGCTCTCTTAAGAGAACGCAGAAGATAATCGTCCCCGGGCCAGGAAAGGCCCTTAGTTACACCTTCCGAGTCAGAAGGGCTGCCGAGCAAAAGAGACAGAGAGCCAGAGCCTTGAGGCTGTCAGGACGGAAGGCCGGAAGGCCCCGGAAGCAGACAAGAAACGCTTTGAGACAAAGGTTTTTTCAAGCGAGCTTCAAGCGAGTTCCGGGGCCCCGCGCCGAGGATTGCATTCTGGGCATCCTCGCGGTGCGCACCGTGTACCTCCTGACCATGAACAGGACCTACCGCGGGGCTCTCAGACAGCGGGTCCAAGTCCAAGTCGCAGCGGGACCGAGGGAGAGAGAGAGAGAGAGCCCTAGCCCTGGCGAAAGAGGAAAAAGAGAGAGAGAGAGAGAGAGAGTTTGAAACCAGTGGGGCACCAGCCCAACAAACTTGCTTTCGGAATCGTAGTTCCGGCAACCTTGGTGTGTGGTTTTCGAAGTTTACCCACAAGGCTGGGCACCCCACAGTAGGCAGAGGTGAAGGGTTGAGCGGAAGGTCGAGGCAGTGTCTGCTGGTTTGAGGCTTGAGTTCGGGATGCAGGCAGGGCGAGGCAGGTCAGGTCGGTTTCCAGAGGGGACAAGCTGTGCGCAACCGAGGGGCACCCTGTATTTGAAGTGGTTACGCGACTTCATGCCTTGTTTCCAAGTAGCCCGATGACCTTGTTGTAACCTGCCCCCACACGGTAGCGGTAGCGTACACCCCGCACGAACTTTCACCCCGTCACTCAACGTACAGACACCCCAACCAACAACATGTTGGAGGGGGTGCGCCTGGAGCGCGGGGTGTGGGGCCTGCCCACACCTCACCCCCGGAGCAGAGCAGAGCAGAGAGAGACAGAGAGAGAGCGGACGAGTATCGGGGGATCTTTTTCTCTATCTCATCTCGGATGGGAAGAATAATTGAAATCAAACATAAACAAAAATATCAAAATATCCGAAACTCGAACATACCTTTCACTCCCCTCGAAAGCCTCACAATATGTGGGGGGCCAATAGGCCGGGGGGCCTGACCCGTCCCCTATGCCCTGGGGAAGAAGAAGAGAGCGGAAGAGAGAGGGACCCACAGGACAGGAAATGGTCCTTGAGACGGACTTCCTGATGAGTGCCGCCGCCTTAGAAGACAGCCGCTCTTGATTTCGGGATTCTAAGCTCATGAATGCGACTGGCGGGGATTCGAATTCGAGACAGTGAGACGGCTTAGGATTGGTACTACCTGGCCTATCGCTTTCCGTTCTCCTTGCTGGTCGGGCGCAGAGAGGGCCCCGAGAAGCTACCATTCGAGAGCCTCCATTCCAATGATGCCCGTTGCCACGAGGGCTCGAAGAGCGTTTCCCAACCGCGCCTTCAGGCGCCTTCCCACTAGCCGCACCAGCCAGGCGGGAGGCAAAAAACGCACCACCCTTTCGCCATCTTTCGCCAAGATGTCGGACTACGGAGCTGACAG